TAATAATATGATGGTAGAAGGGTGCGGGGGCGAGGAGAAGATATATGTGTATATGCTGTATATGTGCAAGACTGCATGCACATATATAGCATATATACAGCTTATGTATATATACATATATATATATATATATATATATATATATATATATATATATATATATATATATATATATATATATATATATATATATATATATATATATATACATATATATATATATATATATGTATGTATACATATATATAGATATATAAATATATATATATATATATGTATATAAATATATATATATATATATATATATATATATATATATATATATGTATATATACATATGTATATATACATACATATCTCTCTCTCTCTCTCTCACACACCTTCTTCCCACCTCATCCCCCTCCCTCCCTCCCTCCCCCTCCCCTCCCCCTCCTCACCTCCACCTTCATGACCTATCTCCCCAAATTTCCCCCTCATCCCTCCCTCTCCCTCTCTCTCCCTCCCTCCCTCCCCCCCTCCCCCTCCTCACCTCCATCTCCATGACCTGCCTCTCCAGCTTCCGACACTTCTCCTCCACCGACGCCATCCGCGTGTCCTTGAGAGACTCCAGGAAGCCGACCTCGCTGCCCACTGCGGTCTCCTCGGCTTTCATGTACAGCCTGGTGGGGAGAGAGGGAAGATGGTGAGGTTTGGGGTGTGGTGTGGGGTGGTGTGGGGTGTGTGGGGTGTGGTGTGGGGTGGGGTGGTGTGTGGGGTGGTATGGGGTGAGGTTTGGGGTGATGTGTGGGGTGTGGGGTGTGGTGTGATATGTGGTGTGGTGTGGAGTGGTGTGGTGTAGGGTGGTATGGGGTAGGGTGTGGTGTGATATGGGGTGGTGTGGGGTGTGTGGGGTGTGGGGTGTGGTGGTGTGGTGTGGGGTTGTGGTATGGGGTGGCGTGGGGTGGTGTGGGGTAGTATGGTGTGTGGGGTGTGGTGTGGGGTGGTGTAGGGTGGTGTGTGGGGTGGTGTGGGGTGTGGTATGGTGTAGTATGGTGAGTGGTAAATCAAAGGATACAGGCGGGGAGAGTGATAGTACATGGTGGTGAGTAATGGTAGTTATGGTATGGTATTTGGGGGGGGGGGTTGATGGTGCATCGTGGTGAAATGACAGTGTATAGTGGCAAGAAGGTAGTGCATAATGTTAATATAATGCATAACAACAGGATTGTAATATACGAAAATAGTTTTTTTTAATCGTAATAAATGTTGGTCCATGAATATAAGTAATAATGTTAATGATAACAGTAATGCAAATACTACAACTAATAATTATTAATGATGATAAAGAAATAATGATAATACCATTACTACTACTACTACTGATAATGACGTTGATAACAATAATGACAACAACAGATCAGCAATAATGACAATCATGATAATGCTAACACCTGTCCAATAATAATAACAAGTAACAGTAACAAAACCGAATAGATGAAAGCAGAAAAAAATAATACAATCAAAGCCGTATCATTTACTGAATGAACGAAGCAGATCTGACACATCAATAATGACTCATATTATTATCATCATTAACACAATGAATGGGTTGCTGTCTTGTTTACTGTCCACGCATCGACGAACCAAATCGAATGGCGAAAATACTACCTCATTGAGAAGTGATATATATTTTTTTTCACTGAATTAGCTTTGTTTACCGATTAATTGTTGTGAAATGGTGACGGTTCATTAAATCAAAGGACTGGTAATGATGATGGAAATGTATGCTAGTGTCTGTGTTGTTATTATTAATAGAAATAATAATGACACTAATAACAACAATAATGATGATAATGGTAACAATAATGATAATGATAATTACAACAACAAAACAACAACAAAAATAATAATGATAATAATTATAGTAATAATAATTATAATAAAAACAATAACAGTACTGATGAGAATAATCATACTGATGATGATAATAATGATAATGGTAATAATAACATTATAAATGCTAATGATAATTATTATAATTATGATAATTATTATCAATATCATTGTTATTATCATTATTATTGCCATCACTATTATTATTATCAGTATCATTATCATTACAATTTTCAGTATTATTACTATTACTATTACTATTATTATTATCATTATTACTATTATTATTATTGTTATTATTATTATGATTATCGTTATCATTATCGATAATAATCTTACAATTAATACTATCGTCATTATTATTATCACTATTTTTAACATTATCATTATTTATATTATCAGTATCATTATCATCATTACAATTTTCAATAGTATTATTACTATTACTATTACTATTATTATTATCATTATTACTATTATTATTATTGTTATTATTATTATGATTATCGTTACCATTATCGATAATAATCTTACAATTAATATTATCGTCATTATTATTATCACTATTTTTAACATTATCATTATTTGTATTATCAATATTATTATTATTATTGTTATTATTATTATC